TTTCTTTCTTTCTTTCTTTCTTTCTTTCTTTCTTTCTTTCTTTCTTTCTTTCTTTCTGACAGAGATAGACAGACAGACAGACAGACAGACCAACAGACAGACATAATCTCCACCCTTGCACTAAATCAGAACTCCCTGCAGCTAGGGTTCTTTCCCTTATTTCAGGCAACTGTTGCTTGGATCTGGATCCCTACAAATTGCTGTAAGTGAGAGAAGAAGGGGGTGGTTATTGGAGGTAGAATTCTTAAAAATGGCCAATGTTCTCCAGCAAAGTTTGAGGAAGCTAGACAGGCAGGAAGCGAAGAAGACTAGAAAAAAGTTGGGTGGCCCAGTTTAGATACCAGGCAGGCAGCTGAAGTTTCCCTCAACTGAGTCGTGTTCTCCTAACTCCCTTTCCTCTCTCCTTCTCCCCCGTAGACCATCTTAAACTCTATGCACAAATATCAACCTCGGTTCCACATAGTCCGAGCCAACGATATCCTGAAACTGCCCTACAGCACATTCCGCACTTACGTTTTCCCGGAAACAGAATTTATTGCCGTAACAGCCTATCAGAACGATAAGGTAAGGGGATTAAGATTTAAAGGGTGTCCATGGGTTTGAGCCTCAGATAAGGCTTTGATTCAGCAGGGAGGATTTGGAGAAATTCCCAGTACAGGTATTGGAATCTTGACTTCTCTTCCTCCCTCCCTTCTCTTTCTCTCATCCACTTCTTTTCCTTTCGTTCCCTACTGCTTAAAAAAATATTGGATCCTGCTCAAGCGGGTATTTGGTCAAGCTCATTAAGAGGAGCAGGTATTATGGGGAGATGTGTTAATTGAATTTGCAACTCTGCACCCACCTAGAACTGGGGACAGCCTAAGCTGAAGGCCTCAATGGACTCCTTTAAGTGACCTTGGCAATCGGGCCACAATGAATTTTTGTTTTTCACGAATCCTCCACCCCTCTTCTTTGAACGCCTGACTTTTGGTTAGTTACTTGGCTGAGTGCATGTATGGGGGGGCTATTTTCCTTTGGGCTGGCGGTAAGGGACGAAACTGGCCTTTAACTGGTAAGGTTTGACGATATTTAATAAGCACGGAGCAATCTTTGGAAAGGGAATAGCAGCAATGCGGGGGCGGGGGGGGGTGTTAGCTATTGAGATTTCCCCAATTAGCCCGATAACCTCAGCATGGAGGAGATCGATAACCTCAGTGTGCAAGAGAACTCAGGAGCTTGGGGTAGCCGAAAGGGTATGGTAAAGGATTCAAACGCTGGACGATCAGCTTGGGTCTGTGTTTTTTCATTTGATTTCTCTCACTGTAAATGAGTAGCTTGCAACTTGGATGGGGCAGGTCGCTTTTGTGAAGTTCTGGCAACCTTGCAAAGATGGAAGTCTGCT